AAAAAATAAAAAAAAAAAAAAAAAAAAAAAAAAAAAAAAAAAAGCAGAAGAAAAGAAAAAGCAACAGCCTCCTTCCTTGGGAAGAAAGGACCCAAGCCTCATTTATTTCTCTTCTTGCAGTTTGCCATGGTTTTTCAGAGAAACAAGGCTGCCAGCACCCAAGTTTCTTGTGCTGGCACGTTTACATGGAGCAGCCGAGGGTTATGCTGGTCTAGGGAGATACAGAGAGAGAGATGGAGGCATAGCAGAAGATATTTGTCCTGCTGAGAATCTAACCCCTCGACTAAAAGAATATGTGAATAGGATGCTTGTTACGCACAGTGTGTGATTAAATCTGCAGATGCTTCTTTTAAGAATGGTGTTAATACATTTGACTTTGCATCATGATACCTACGATATAATGAAAGCCACACTGCAAACATGTGCTGAAATCATAACCAGTCTGCCGTTGGATAGGATTCTTGGACTCGGCTCGCAGCGTGGTGTGGGAAGATAGGCGAGATGCTGTGGGAAGGTACACAGTGTCGGATCGCCCAGGCTTCTCGACCTTTCTAGGAAAACACAACCGCTAGCAGTCATTTATTTACTAAGTTGATTTAGACTGCTTGGCTCTTCTGTTGAAAACGGCACCAAATAGGCTAGTTGTGGCAAGTTTCCCCCTGCCAACATCCATCCTCTGGGACATATTAATTTGCATCATGGAGGACAGTGAATGACATTTTAACTAAGCAGGCATAGTTTTGAACTGCAGGCTGTGTGTCCTAGCAGCGAGCTGACAATTTGGCTTTATATACTCACTAAAACTGTATCTGTTTGGATTTTACCGTTTTCTTTTTCTGTGGAATGCATTTCTTCTCTGAAGTGCCCTGTCAAAAAGAACTACTTGTATTTATTTTTTACAAAAGCTTTAAAAATGAAGTCTTTAAAAATGTGTTTTTCAAGGGATTTACTTTGCACCAGGTACTAAAGGCGAAGTTTAACACAGCCAGCGTTTTATGATACCACGTTACAGATGCATATAGGAATAGTTAAAAGCCGACCTACATTATCACTGCAGATTAATGTCAATTCTAGTCAAAAACCAGAAATGACTCATCCCAGCTGCATTTGAGACTTCATCTTGTTCCTTAAAAATCTGTCCCAACTTCCTCACTTAGAGAATTGCACAGATTATTTTATTTTCAGTAAAGTACAAACTAAGTGAAATAGGTCTTTCTCATTCGTGGTATGTTGCATACATGTATCCTAGACAAAATCCAGGTGAAAACCAAGCTGTGGGCATTTTCGTGTCCAAGCTGTATGAAGCAACTTATGTTCCTTTTAGATGACTGAAAACTCATTACAATGATGTCTAAAGGTCAAAGTTCTGCAGTATCTGCAGCAGATTTTTATGCAAGTGATTTGATTGAACTGGATTAAAAAATTCAAATTATTTCATTTGCTAAAATGTGGGATTGATATTCTTTTCATTAATCCACTGCAAGTATTCCATATAAATATGAAAGCTTTTGTAATAATGAATTTTATGCCAATTCCAGAAAGGTACTCAGTAAGGCTCTGTAGTCTCTGTCCGTTATCTACTCTTCCTGGATGACAGAAAGGATTTGTAAGACCATTTTATAAATTAAGGCCACTGAAGGCCTTACTCAGTTTTACTTACATGATTCTGCCCTGCTGGTGCCAAACCAGTATGGAAGCTGCTCTGAAAACCAGCTGCACACAGGAAAGCATTACCTTATGGTGGTTGTTGTCTTTGTGGTCACTGTTGGCTTAATGAATCATGCATTTAGTACGAATGCAACATATAATGAGTTAAAGCCTATTTTTCTAAAAATGAGCGATGATGAATCTTTCAGATATCTTTTCAGCCACAAATATTTTTATTTTAATAAATCCTGCATTTGAATCTTTGTAAGGAATCACTTAGCTCTAAAGAATCCAAATTGCAGCCTAGAAGTATGTACAAACCAGGATTCCCACCTAACAAACCATTATGTTCACTCTCATTATTCAGCTTGTGTAACTATCACGTTTTTAAACTTAAAAGATCGCCGCATTGCATAGTCACATGCTGCTTGCTATCTTCAAAACTAAGACTTCCTTTGGCCACTTCTAAATTTTCCTTGAGTATCATGAGTCAGAATTTCATTCTCTTATTTTCTGGTAGATGGACAGAAGGTATGGAGCATTTTACCCTCTATGTAGAAAGTTTGGTGTTGGAGAAAAGAGTTTGATCCACTTTCTCCCTCTCCCCATGTAATGAGACTGATTGGATTTGGGAAATGAAATGGTATAAGTCAGTCTAGTAACTTCTGGTTTTTCTTGGTTTCATGTCTCTTTTTCAGATCAATAACAAAGCTTGTGGCACAGTTTTTGTGCCTCAGCAAGCAGCCCGCAATTTTGAAGAAGTCCACGAGCTAGTTCTTCAAAGTGAACTTGGTGTCAAGCATCTCCAGGGACGAACCATTAAAAAGGCCTTTCTGTCTCCCAGAACTGCCCTTATCAACTTCTTAGTGCAAGAATAGCAAAGGCTCTGCTGGGCTGTAAAAGGGAACTGGAATCTTTTGAGATGAAACCAATTCAAAAATACTGGTTATTTAAATCTCATGTAACAGTGGGGAAGAAATGTTATTAAAATCAGGTTGCTGCTAAATCTTCATTTCAGTGTGGAGAAATGCGCAGAATTAAAGTTTCTTACCAAGTCACGGTAAGGTGCTGTTTGTCTATATTCTCTGGGAGAATGAGAAGGAAGCACAGAAGAACTAAATGATTGTAACAGGATGTAAATGATACAAGGCGCATGGGTTTTCGTGTCAGCCTCAGGAATATATCCTATTGGAAAGTTGGCTTGGCTAAATGCAGGACTAAACAACTGCCTTGAGTATGTGCTATAGCAAATGTTCAGGTGTGCTACAGTCAGCCTTTGCTCCCTATATCTCATGTTTGGGTACCCTACCATTAACTAACATTTTAAGTTGTAAGAAAATGTTTCTACAGAGTGATAATTTAAAAAAGGATTTCTTTAGCGCAGGCCAATGGTCTTGTGCACAGCAGGTAGCCAGAACAGGGTGGTTTAATATATTTCACATACCTTTCAGAGTCAAGCCAAGAAAAAGGTCAGATTATTCAGCCAAGCCCTGCCTTAGCCAGGATCCTCCTTCCTCACTGGCATATTTGTGTTGGCTCATACATGAGAGGTTCAACTTCAGCAAAGTGCTGGTGGTTGTTTCTGCGCAGAACAGAATGGATGTTACTTCCTACACAGGAGCCATCTCAGAGACTTTCAGGGGATTCGAGAAAGCAATGAGTCAGCTGCTAGAACTGCAGCAATGGGGAAGGCAGACAGCACACTTTTTGCCTCTACTCCTAGTTCTTGTAGTGCCTAGATAGTAAAACCTGAATAAAAATTTTCTTTTTTTTTCTGAGGGGTTCATTAAGTGGAATAGCTGTCAGGTTTCTAAAAATCAATCAGACTTTCATAAAACACAAAGCCATTCTCATGCCTCATTTCAACCATTTTATGTGTACACTGCATTGCTGTTACATCCACATGGAGATGTTTATTGTATTTAGCAAATGCTCGAAAACGGGTTTCCAAAGAAACAATTACAGGGTTCATTGTGTAAGAATGTCTTTTCTTTAACAGCCATTAAATGAAATAGTCCAATAAGCCAGCCATTTATGAGCCATTCTGACTGTTAAGAAGTCGGCAATAACAACCAGCTAGGCAAATACAGAGGACTGTGTTAACCCACCAGCCCAGCAGTCATCCAGACTCTATTAGATTAAAAGGAAACCAACAAAAATCACCCCCATAACAGTAACTAAGTCCAATATATCCTAAGCAACTAGGACCAAGACAGATCACATTGCAGTGTGAATACTAGCTAAGCAATACCAATGCTCGTATTGGTTTTATGCATTTTTGGTACCAAAGATGTGGCTACGTAACAGAGATGCCAGGCCCAGCAAGCAGATTTGGCTCTACATGTCCCTGCTTTGGCAACAAAACTCTTCTGATTTCTGCTTCCTCCTGGACCATGCTCGTGCAGATTTTCTCTCTAGCAGTCCTTTGACACAAGAATGACTAAGAAATGGAATATTTATAATGGAGATACAGTCTTTGCAGTTTTAAGACTCCAAAAATCTGAACCACAAAGGAATGCATTCAGGCATTCAGACACAAGCCTTTAGTTGGAGTTAAAATAATTTGAATTCCAGTGTCTGCCTCACATATATGTTGTTATAAATTCATAAAACTCCTGTTCAGAAGGCCCTAAAAGGACTGTGAAAGAGATCCTTTAAAGTAAAATCTGTAGCACAGCACAGTCCTGCTTTTTTTTTCCCTATATAAAAGTTTAACACGCCCTGTGGAACCATTTGAACAGAGTTTTTCTTTGGGGGAAAGGTGACATGTTTGATGTAAATAAAAACTTTTAAAATTTACAAGGATGAAGAAAGATGTTGCAAGCCCAGCAGCCCTTTGGTGCCTTTAAACAAAAGCTGCAGTCACTCTAGGGCTGAGCAGCAGCCCACAGTGTTTATTGCTGTTAGCACTGGTGGGTATTTGCTCTTGCCGGAGGAAGTGAATTGCAGATGTCACTCGGTGATTCAGGCAAAAATCAAAATAAGGAATGGACTTCTACAGGCTAAAAAAGGAAAGGTAGCGAACAGCAATTGGACAAAAAGTCTTTGGTCAGAAGTCACACCGGTATGTTTACAGTGAGTTGAAATTCAGTGTGGTCAAGCGGATAGAAGAAAGGTGGTGGAAAAGGGAGGAAGGGAGAGGATGCAGAAAGTCTGATGGAGCCTAACGCCCTGGACAGTGTATGTTTGGAAGATGGCAGAGGTGCCAGCTGTGGAGCTGTGCAGTTGTCCTGACGGCTGCTGACATTTCGTGTAAGGTTGACCTGCTCTCAAGCACGGTTGCCATTTGTCTTAACGATAGTTGTGACTCACAGGTTTGGTCTGTGCCTGGATGGGACTGATACTGATGCACAGGCTGTAACCTGTTACCATGCTGTTTTAAAATAACTTAGCACAGATGCCTCTCCTTTCTTTAACGGTTGCTACTTGTGTCATGGTACAGATGCATCTTTATGCTGAAGGTGGTATAAAACGTTCCCAGAGATTGCGTGCTGTTGAAGAGTTCAGTGGCTAAATAGTATGGGAGTTTTAAATCTAGGAGGGGATACTTGAGAAGTAAGAAGGAAGGGCACTGATGGGTGATCGGTCACGTTGGAACTTGTGCTGCATTCGTCACACACGTTAAAATGGACACGGTGCCACTGTCGTCCTTCCGTGAAGTGATGAGCCAAAGGAGATTTGGGAGATTTGCTAAACTCAGTGGGACAGACCCAGGACAAACAACAAGAAACAGATCCATGACATGGAAAGGGCATGTTCTGCACCCTGTCACTCAAGGTGATAGAAGACTGGTCGCAGCGCTGAACCAGTCTGTATCAAATTTCTATTTTAAGTAATATAAAATTTAAAAAGGAATTATTGGCACACTTGCTACCCCAAAATCGTTCATGCAGCTGAATTTCCAGACAATCCAGCCTTCAAACATTGATTCTGGAAAAATAAAAGTTGGCAAAGTCCGGAAAGGTCACTAAGTACTTTTCCAGTGCTATTGATTTCAGGAGAAAGGATTTCAGGCGCTGGATTGATGGGGGCACTGAAATGTGCTGGAAGACCCCACCGTGTAGAAGAACGTGTTATTGGGCATGGGTGTTTCATAGTCCTCTCTGGTGACCGAGATGTCATGGACGCACCAGTGCTGCTTTGCAGCACAGCAGTGGGGCTTTTTACATGACATCGAGGAACAATGGTACAGCGCAGGTCACTAGCTAAGGCAGTTCTCTAGCCAGGTTGTCCCACTTATGCTTTGAAAAAAAACCTCTACGAGGGCATTGCTGAACAAGCATGTATTTTTCCGTGACCTTCACCAGAATCTGAACACAGAGATTTGGTGCAAAATAAAATCTGTGTGCTCTCTTGGTGACTTACCGGATTAAAGTTGTGCCGAGAACTGACATCTGGTTAATGATGGCTTTTTGTGATCTGACTTTGTAAAAGCCTGCTTATTTCTTCTGGAGGGAGAAATTCCATAGATAATGCACGTTATGCAGTCTCTCTTCTTTGTCTCCCCCTCTTCACTGTAAAGCCCCACAGAAAGCTGTTCCTCTTTAAACATTTTACAATCAACATGAACTAGAAAGAATGTTAATTAGCACTTTGCTGGTTGTTTCTTCTTAGGGAAGTTTGCAGTATATAAGATTTTTCTAAAAGCTTGGCTATAAATGAGGATGGGGGAGAATCCACTGGGGGTTTTTTCTAGTTTTGCAATACTTATTACAGTTTACAGAGAGTGGATTGGCTTTATTTATGTGTATTTACCAACTTAGAAGAGTACATACACTGGTTTCCCTGGGTGCTTTTTCTGCTTCTTTATTTCTTCAGTCCCCTCCTTATTTGGATCTGAGCTGATTTTGTATCAAAGGACTGCGCTGTAAGAGAAGTGTTGAATGTGAAGCCAGGTCTATCACCAGAACCTGACTGATGAATATACTTCCTAGCCCACTGATTTTGATCAATCCAGGTAACGTCTGCTTTTGACTTTAAAGAATGTTGCTGGAACTACAGCTGTGTTATTTTTTTGTAGTGGAAATGGGGGTTTTGTCTCAAAGAAGCAGCACGAAGCTGATCACAGTAGATCAGAGGCAGTTTTTAGCATGTTCCAGCTGTAGCAGGGGGAGAGCTAAACTGGAGCATTATCTCTGTGCCAGAGGGGACAGGATCAGAGGTCTCATCTGCAGCCTAGATGATAAAAGAGATCTTGCCTGACATGGGGAGGAAAGGTGGGATTTTTTTTTCCCTTTCCTGAATAAGGTGACTTTCTGGTACCACAAAGTCTTCTGTAATTCACTAACCGCGACTGTGCCAGGAGCTCCGAGTCACGCACAATCTTGTGTCTCCTGGCACTTCTCTCACTTGAGTAAGCCTGTGTTGGGTAAGCTCAGGTCTGGTTTTAGCCCTGGAGAGTTGCAAACCAGCATCACCTGTCATGCAAAGTTAGCTCTAGTTTTATGGGTGGTCAGAGAGTTTGAACAGGTTTTCCTGGGTTTCCGAGTTGTTAAGTGTCTCTGAATGGGAGTATTTTAGCGACGTTGCAGAGAGAAGTCCTGATGGCTTTTGTTCTACCTGCCAGCCTTTACGTTGGCCACGGGACTGGAAACTCAGTCAAGGTCAAGCAGATGCTTGTATTTGTTGTCAGGTGAACGCAGCCCAAACCTGTGAGAGATTGTGATCACAGGAATCTCATCAAAAGTACCCACCAATATTGAGCACCCAGGACGTTTCATTGTATGCTTGTCTGCCTGCACCACAGCAATTTGCTCTCAGTTTTAGGCTGCCAAATTGCTGGCTAGGCAAAGGAACATGTAAATGGGAAAAGCTGAAGTATAATGAGTTTAATATTCACATTCTTTCTGGTTGCACTTGTGATACTCAGCCCGGGACATTTGGGGCATAAGAAGTTCTTTTATTTGAAGAGCCTGGTCTTCTTCAGTATAACTCTAAGCAGAACATATACATGTACATGAACAGAAGCGTGTGCCTTTGTGCTTGCTCTCTCGGATAGAAGCATGCTCTCTGGGCTGGCTGCAAGGGGAAGGCCCACACTCACATCTAAGGCTCTGAACTTCCT